TGTGTTTAATGGCCAGCCCTGCAAACTCAACGTGGGATCTGAAAGTTAAGCTCCGTTTTTCTATGTTGTGCTGCATGACCACCAATGAAGACTCAACAGAATAAATTCTATCCTCAGTTACCCCTGTTCAGTCCTGTTCTATCCACTGATCTTTCAAAGGGTAACTGAGGGTAGGATCTGGCCCTGTGTTTTTGGGAGTAAGATTGGTATTTTCAAAAGAGTCTACGTGAGTTAGGAGCATGAGTCCTACTCTCTTTAATTTTGACTTGTGCTCCTGTCACTTAGATGCTTTTGAAAAATGCCACCACTAGTTAACAGCTCTGCCTTAGGATGCAAGGGCCAGAATAGAATCCAGCTCGTTCTCTGTTAACTCTGCAGTACTATCCAGAGTAAGAAGTAGTAAAAACTTGTGTGTGTCACTTAACCACAACTTCTTATTCAAGTAATTTTGACAGGCATTTTCCAGTATAGAAGTAAAGTACTTCAAAGTCCCTGATCTGAACCTGTGTTTGTTGTATATGGGACAGTGTGTTAGACAAAAGAATAGCTTAAGTCATAGGAGCATTGTGAAAGAAATATGTACAGGAATCAATAATAATTCACCCTCTGAGAGATAGAGCATTGTACATATCAGTCGTCGTCGTCATCATCATAATTTTTCCTGCACTATCAGGTGCATGATATCTTGGGCCCATTTTTCCATGTCTTCTGTATTTGGATGTCGTAATGTCACCTCAGCCAATATTGTGCTATGGAGTATGCCTTTAGCTTGGGCTCTCCTCAGAGCCGTCCCAAGGGTATGGCAAATTGGGGCGACCGCCCCGGCCGCTGCGCTTCATGAGGAGGCAGGCGGGGAGGTGAGGTGGTGGGTGGGGGCGTGAGGAGGAGCCCTCCCCCCAGTGCCTACCATCGATCAGCTGTTTCGTCTGGAGGCACTGGGAGGGGGAGGAGCCAGGGCGCAGCACACGAGGGGGAGGGGGTGGAACTGGGCAGGGAAGAGGCAGAGCAGGGGTGGGAAGAGGTGGGGTGTGGCCTTGGGGGAAGGGGTGGAGCGGGAGTGGGGCCTGGGGCCTGGGCGGAGCAGCAGAGGAGCATCCCCCGGCAGATAAAAACTCGACACCTATTGCTGGGGCCCTGCAGCCTCCTAGTGATCCCTGGCTCTCCTTCTCTTGCTTGTTTAGGTAGCCTCAGATTGGGTATTTTTAAAAGACGTCTCAAATATGTCTGTCTCTTTTTCTGTACTACTTGTATTGTTTTAGGTAGGTGTGTCCATTTTAGGGTCTCTTCATTACTTATTTTACCAGTTTATTTTACTTTGGTTATTCTGTGCAGACACCTACAGTAACTCCTCACTTAAAGTCATCCCAGTTAATGTTGTTATGTTGTTGATCAATTAGGGAACATGCTCATTTAGAGTTGCGCAATGATCCCTTATAACCTAGTTTGGCAGCTGCCTGCTTTTTCACTGCTTGCAGGATTCTCTGGAAGAGCAGCCCCTCCTTGTGGGGATTAGAACCAGGGTGGGGCGGCAGCTCCCCTAAATTCCCTGTAAGGTATGTGGCTTGGCAGCTGCCCAGCCAGCAGTTCAGCTGCCCCTGCCCTGCCCTCTGCCTTGGAGCTGCTCTCCGGAGCTTCCTGCTTGCTGGGGGAGGGGGAGAGAGGGGTGCTGATATCAGGATGTCCCCCTGCTCCTGCCCCCCGACCCCCACTCTGTACTCCCTCTCCACAAAGTGGAGGAGGGGATAGGGCTCAGTGACAGAAAGGAGGGAGCTTGCTGGAAGCTGTTGCTTCCTGTCTGAACTGCTTAAAAGGGCAACGTACTTGAAGTGGGGTCAGCGTACTTAAAGGGGCAATGCACGTCTCTCTCTCTCTCACTCATGCACGCACCCCCCAGCACTTTGGAAAGTCAGCACCTGTGCAGCCATGCATGTGCTGTCAGGAGGAGGGACTGGTGCGCTCCAGCTGGATAGCGTGGGCTCATCATAGTGTTCAGTTTTTGCAGGGAAGTGTTTGCAGCGACTGCTCTGCATCTATTGTGTTTCCTCCCTCCTGCCTCAGTCCATGCTGCCTTGTAGAGTGTGAGGCTACATTAACAACAGCGTATTAACCCTTGAGGGCTCAGCCAAGTGCTAGTCCATCATTTAGCAGCAAGGGAAATATTCCACCCTCTTACTCCAGGACCTCAACCAAGCTTCACAGTCGTTCATTGCTGCGTACAATATTAAACGGTTTGTTTAAAATTGTTTAAAACTTATACTGTATATGTATATAATGTCTTTTGTCTGGTGAAAAAAATTTCCCTGGAACCTAAC